AGATGAGTGAAGAAAGCTCTTAAGCAAATAGAATTTGAGATGAGGGCCCAGTAACTCTTTTACCAAATAAGGGCTCACCAATTAGATAAACCAAATTTAGATAGGCTAGAGAAAAGGTTAGGAAAATAATATGTATTTATTGAATTTTGCTAGATAAAGTTTTATAACCTTGTAACTCTATCCATTCCTTATTTTTACGAAATTGAGAATGTAACCAAATAGGCTCCCCCAATGTAAATGCTTATATCAATAAAATTGGGTTTTCATATTCCAATTGTATGGTTAATATGACCTTATCCCTCACTTTGTTCAGATAATCTATATAAATAACAGCTTCGAAGTAACAAATCCTATTTCAAAGCCTATTTTAAGTGTTTCGAAGCATGAGGTTCCTCTTAAAAGTGATAAGATCTTCCTTCGAAGGGCTCTGCTTTAGTAGAAATTTCAAAAAGTACTTTCATATATGAGGAAGTCCCCCGGTCTTTCAAATATTCACACCAGTACCTACTTACTTTGAAACCAAACTCAGGCACAAACTATACTTCTTTTCATCAAAGAATCCTAAAGCATTCCTTTGAAGGAAAATTTTCTTGATGGAAAGCCTTGGAGCTTACATTCAAAACTTTCAAAGTAAACAAGTCCTAACTCTGCTTGAGTTTAAGGCATTCTAGGAAAAACACTGGCTTCAAAACCAACCACCTGTTTCGAAGTCGAGCTAAGCATTTGAAATGTACTACCCTCTCTCATAAGGTAACAAAATGCTGCTTTGAATGAAGTTCTCTTTGTTGTGTTTTCAGGACCCCTTTTTATTTTAAAATAAAGGCCTTAAACCCACATGGGTCAAAATAATCAATCAAGTAACTTGGGTTTATTTGACCCGTTAGGCTGAATGGGTAATTTTTTACAGAAAGGTTTAAAGCCCCAATTTCTCACGCTCTTATCTATTTACTTGTCTAGTCTTTTCCTTTCACTCCCATTGCTGTCAACTAACTCCTTACCCTTCTTATACTCACTCTCTTCACCCTTCTTTCAGTCTCTCACTAATGGCTTCTTCTTCACCGAAAGTACCAATTATTGAGCACTTACGTCCCTCGGTAGCTTTGAGGAGATGGATCATCGATGAGATAGCCACATACCGGACCCTTGAGGGTCAAAGTGCGATTGATGGCTGAATCTTTGTCCCTTGCCACTATGAGTAGGGGGAGTTTTTCCTTGGTCCCATCTTCAAGGAAGCTCTTGCTTCACTTCCTCCTTTGTAACCACGTTTGGAGGATTATTACCTTCTCTACGAAGGAAGTCTTAACTGGGGGAAACTGGAGGGTTAACCGACCTCACTACTACTGGCCCATATTGAAGACTAAATGAGAGGAATGGTATGATACTGTAGTTGGAGCGCGGGAGCAAGATTTGGAGGATCTCTCCATTCTCGATGCCTATTGCTTTTGGAAACCCGCATTCAACTTCTTTCAATTCTGGTGTGGCATGATGGCCCCTACTGTTCTTAACATATGCCACATTCTAGGGCTTTCCCCTGTTGGTGTTACTTTTGGCCCTCACTACCCAGACCTCATGGTCTCTTTCTCTATTCTCTCTTGCAATTCCTCTTATAGTGACTTCATAATTTCTGAAAATAAGAAAGAAGGACTTGTTACCGATCGTGAGCTTCTTTCTTTTCTTCTTTACTAGCTCTATAAATTTGTTTTTTGCACCTCTTCCCAGAGGATAATGTCTGAATTTGTCCCCCTTGCCAAAGCTCTAGCTTTAGGAAAGAAAATAGCCCTAGCTCCCTATGTTCTGGGGCACGAATATAGGGTTTATTCCCAATTTTGGGAAAGGCCTCTAAAGCCTAACCAAGGGGGTCCAATTTGGATCCTCTAACTCTGGTTTTTTGCATATTTCACTCAACTTCACTGTCGTAGCTTAAGATTTCTAGTACAATCCTACTACCTACGGAAAGAAATATGCCAGAGTGTCTCTATACCCCTCCAGTTTTGCATATTACATTACCTTCTTTTATCAGTTACCCTTAACTACTCGGCCCTCCTTTTTTCATCCATTTGATGTTGTTGTGGGACCAGCATGGTTGAGGGATTTTTTGTCCGACTCCACCTGCTCCCAGCTTATTCATAAGGACATGTGGGCTTCCATTCTATTACCGAGGGAACTCTTTATTGGGACTTTGAATCCTAGGGCTTATAAATGCATCTCTGAAGCCTACTATCCTACTCAATTTGCAAGACAATATAGTCTCAGCCAAGGAATTCCTATCTCAATTTGCAGCCACTCCAACCTAACTTAGATACCAGGGACCTGAAAGTGCCAACATATAGGTTGGATAAAGCAACATCCAAGCTTAGAAGAGACATTGCTAGCTTCGAATTCATACATTTCACTGGCCACAGCAGGGCCATGACTAGGTTCAAAAACTGGTGGTTTGCTAACATGGAGGTGCAACTTGCTATCCCCACCCTAGACTTATTACAGAATTTGGATCTGCCATCCTAGGGTGGTCAGGCCACATTTAAAGAGGCTAGCATCACCACTACTTATGCCCCTTCTACAACCCTTTCATCTAGAACTACCAGGGCTGCTGCAAAAAAGGGTATCTAGTCTGTTATTTCTTTTGTCTTTCCCTTCCTTCATTTATACTACTCTTCTGCTTAAAGCTTTTTTTGTTGTTATAGGGACTTCACAAGCGGCATTACCTCAGAGGCAAAAGCTCTGGCCACACTGAAAAGCAAGCAGCAGAAAAGAAAGACCCATATTAGGCTCGAGCTTGTGAATGAAGCCCCTGAAGTTCCCTCAGAAAAAGAAGAAGAAGAAGAAGAAGAAGAAGAAGAAGAAGAAGAAGAAGAAGAAGAAGAAGAAGAAGAAGCCCCTCTGAAGAGAAGGAAGATTACACCTTCCTCTGCTGCCTAACTTCTCATAGATGCAGCTCATGAAACAGTTGCGAAGGCAGTAGACCAAGAGCATGCGAAGGAGATTCTTGTTTTTCAAAGATTTGAGAAGAAGAGGCAGCAACAAATTTCAAAGAAAGATGCTTCTGTTGTCAAAGCAACACAACAGGAGGGTGTACGGAAGCTCAAAACTACTGAACATCACACCCTTCGCAGCTCTCCAACCATCATCACTACTACTGCTGGTAATTCTTCTTGCTTTTGTCAATACCTCTGTTTTTTTCTTTATTTGTCATTTCTGCTTTGTTTTTATACTTTTTTCAATGTGCAGCAACAGCTAGCCTTCCTACTTCTCTGCTACCTCCTACTTCTCTTCCACTAAGCATCGAAGGACCATTCCTGAGCCCTAAAGATTTGAAGAGGGCCTTGAAAGGAAAAGGAAAGGCAGGCACTGACTTCCCATTGAGTGTAGAGCCATTACAGATGATCTTCCTAGTCCCAGCCTCTACACTCCCAATGGCTTTGCTAGTAACTTTTCTTACTTCTGTCCACACTTCTAGTTTTGATTTTCCCATTCAACTTTATTTTTATACTTCTTTTCTTTTGATATGCAGTAGTAGCTAGCCTACCTACTTCCTTACTACCTTCTGCTTCTCTCCCACCAAGCATTGAAGGACCATTCCTAAGCTCTGCAAATCTGAAGAGGGCTTTGAAAGGAAAAGGAAAAGCAGATACTGACCTCCCGATAAGTGTAGAGCCATTGCAGATGATCTTTCTAATCCCAGCCTTTACACTCCCTTTGGCCTATTCCTTACTTCCCTTCAAGCTTAATCTGTCAATCATTATTTCTTTTCCTTCTACTAATCCTGTTGAGTTCCTCAACTGGCCACTAGTGACCATTTCCTCACCTTTGCTTATCTCCACACCTGCTAGGGTCCTAGCAAGCCTTTTACCATATGAGAGTACACCTGTTACTCCATTTTCTAGAGCAGTAGTTAGTACCTCTGGGGATAGGACTGGCAGCCCACCACCACTTTTTTCACTGCCCTACTCCAGTCCTCCCTCTTTGGACCTGTTGATGGCTAGGACCATTGATGTTGCTGAGGCATCATCCTCTTCTTCTTCTCTAACCATCACTTCAGCATCTACCAGTGGCTCCCCCACGCCATCTTTATCAGAGGAAGAGATGGACATCTTTGAAGCCCAACTGGCCAGCCTATTTGGCATATCTACACCAATTATTCCATCTGGTGGTGAGGCTAAGCCCTTGGATCTAGTAGACTCTTTTCTAGAGATAATTGGAGGCTCACCTACTGCTGAATCCTTCACTCCTCTTCCTCAGGTGGACATGGAGGTCTGTTTGGGGTTAGTTAGGACTTTCTTGAGGGTCCCATTCGAAACTTTAATAAAACCAACCATCAAGAATGGGTTTCTCAAATGTTGTCAATTCTTTGAGTAAACCAATACTTCATTTAGAGGTCATTTGTCTCAGGCAACAGCAACCATCGAATTCTATGTAAATATCCACCAATTAGCCAAGGTTGCAGAGAAAGAATTCCTAAAAGACAAGGAGTTCGTCTCTTATGTCCATTCTGTTATTTCTCTGTTGAAGGGACAACACTCCTCTGCCACTCAACTCCAGACTCAGCTACTACACAGAAAAGCAGAATTTGAGAAGGAACTGGTAGCATTTAACCTGGCCTTAGAGCAGAATGCACAAGCACTACATTCTTCTCATTGAGGGCTATCCAATCGCAGGCAGGAGATGAACACTACTATCCAACTGTTCCCAACCCTTAGAAGTAGAGAACTCATTGTAAGGAAACAGTTGAACATTATAATGAATTTTAAGCCAAATTGTGGCATAATGTACTTGACTCTTTATGAAGTGAAATGTTTTTACTTACCCAAGTGTGTTCTTATCCTTTTATGTTTTGTATGATGATCCTATACTTCTTGTGTGTCCCACACAGTTAGGTAATAAATTTTCAAATACTTACCATTAATTTTCCTAGGATGCACATACCCATTTAGGTTCTTCAAATGGTAAGCCCCTCCAAGCAGGACTCTATGGACTTGGTATGGCCCCTCCCAATTGGGTGACTACTTGCCAAACTTATGGCTTTTAATGCCCACTAGAAGTATTGTTTTCCAAACTAAGTCCCCTTTATCAAAACTAAGGTGTTGGACCCTTTTATTACAGCTTTTGGCTGTTTTCTTCTTTTGTAAAAGAATGTTGTTTAGTGCCAAAATTCTGGCCTCATCTATGTTTTCCAATTCCATACACATGCTTTGATGATACTGATCAGTACTTAAGTGATTCTGCCACTTGACCCTTAAAGACTCTATATTGATCTCAACAGGTAATATTGCATTATGTCCATATACCAGGGGATAAAGGGTAATTCCTGTGCTTGATCTTTGAGAAGTCCTATATGTCCATAATACATCTAATTGTAAATTATGCCATTCTCTGGGATTTTCCTGAACAACCCTCTGTATCTCTTTCTTCGAGGATTTGTTCGATGACTCTGCTTGGCCATTTACTTGTGCATAATAGGGGGTGGAATTAATAAGACTAATTCCAAACTCTACTGCGAAAGCTTTTACTAGCTTTCCATTGAACACAATTCCATTATCTACAGTTATGGTTTGTGGAATACCAAACTCGTGAACCAATTCTTTGATGAAGTCAATTACTTCTGTTTGGTCCACTGTTTTATAGGGCTTAGCTTTGACCCACTTTGTAAAGTAGTATGTGGCTACTAAAATGAAACAATTTTGTTTCAAAGAAGGTGTGTAAATTTTCCCTATCATATCTATCGCCCATCGCCTAAAGGGCCAAGGCTTTACTATTGCATGTAGATCAGTTATTGGAACATGTCTTATCATGCCATGTTTTTGGCATGCCTGGCAACCTTTTGCATATTCTATGCAGTCCTTAAAGATGGTTAGCCAATAATAAGAGTGCCTTCAAAGCAATCATCACATCTTAACTCCAGACTGGTGAGCACCACAAATGCCCTTATGTACTTCAGCCATGGTAGTCAATGCTCTCTAATAAGAGACCATCTGCTCCTCTTTTGTAAAGAGCATTCCCATACATTATGTATTGCATAGACCGTAATTTAAGCTTTCTGCTGGACTTCGAAGATGGGCCAGTCAAATACTGAATGATTGGATGCCTCTAATCTTGCTCTTGCAAGTCATTCTGATTAACTTCTACCAATAAACCTCATTTGGCTAAAGATGGTATCAACTTCTTTAGCCCACATCTATCTGAACATTATTGTCCTTTCTTTTGAAATTCGATGCTTTCTGGGCCACATCATTAGCCTTGTGGTTCATGAATCTTGGCATATAAGTTATATTTACCATTTGGAAATGGGAAACCAAATGTATAGCAGCAACATAGTATGATAACATGCTTGCACTTTGACATTTAAAGATCCTCTTCACTTGATTAATTACCAATTAAGAATCTCCAAATATATCAATTACATGCACCTATAAACCGATGAGTATCTCAAGTCCCATAATCAGGGCTTCGTACTCAGCTTGATTATTAGAGCAAGTAATTTCATCAACTTTAAAGCCATGTGTGGTTTCTGTTCCTTGGGGTGATTTGATCATAACTCCAACTCCTACCAGGCCATTCGCATTCAACCCACCGAACCACATTTTCCATGGCTCTAAATCCATTGTGTCAAGTTCTATTGTTTCTTGACACTTTGATTGGCATGGATAATCGACCAAGAAATTGGCCAATACCTGCCCTTTCACTGCCTTTTAGGGAACATACTCTAACTGGAATTCTGACAAGGCCAAAATCCATTTGCTTATTCTTCCTCTTAGTATGGGTCTAGATAACATGTGTTTAACCAAATCTATGGTTGCAATTACCAAAATAGTAGTAGGCAAAAGGTAATATCTTAATTTCATTGCTGCAAAGTACAAAGCTAAACACAGCTTTTCAGTAGTTGAGTATTTACATTCACAAGGGTTTAAAAACCTACTAAGGTAATATACTGCTTACTCCTTGCTTCTTTATTGTCCTGAGCCAGAAAGACTCCTAATGATTCTTCAACTGCAGTAATGTATAACTACAAAGGTCTGTCATTCCTTGGTGACATCAGCACTGGAGGTTTGGCCAAATAGGCTTTTATCCCTTCGAAAGCAGCTTGATACTCTGTTGTCCACCTAAAATCTTCTTCATTTTTTAACTTCAAAAGAGAAGAAAAACTCTAGTTTTCTCCGCAGTGTTAGAAATAAACCTTCGAAGGAAATTAACCTGACTAAAGAACTTTTGCAAGTCTTTTTTACTTGATGGAGGTTTGGCTTCAATAATGGCTTTGGCTTTATTCTGGTCAATTTGTATTCCCTTCTTGTGTCCTATATATCCTAAGAAGTTTCCAGTTGCCACACCGAAAGCTCATTTGAGTGGATGGAGTTTTAGCTTGAATTTCCTCATTCTTTCGAAGACTGCTGTTAAATGGATCAGATGCTCTTCCATGGACTGAGATTTTACCACAATATCATCAATGTAGCATTCTAAATAACCTCTAATGAGGTCATGGAAAATGGTGTTCGTTGCCCTTTGATATGTTGCCCCAGCATTCTTCAAGCCAAATGGCATTTTAACCCATTCAAAGGTCTCAATATTCCCAGGACACCTGAAGGCTGTCCTGTGAACATCCTCCTCTACTATGCATATCTGGTTATAGCTAGAATGTCCATCCATCATTGACAAAATCCCATGTTCGGCTGAACTGTCTACCAATAGATCTACCATAGGCATGGGGTACTTATCTGTTGGGGTTGCCAAGTTTATATTTCTGAAGTCAATACAGACCTTCAATTTTCCATTCTTCTTAATCACAAGCACTATGTTGGCTAGCCATTCAACATACCTGGCTGTTCTGATAAAGCCTACCTTGAGGAGCCTAGCAATCTCCGTTTTTACCTTTTGAATCACCTCAGGACTCATTCGCCTTGGCTTTTGCTTGTATGGTTTGAAATTTGGCTTAACTGGAAGCCTATGTTACACTAATGACCTATCCAACCCAAGCAAATCATTGTAAGACCAAGCAAAACAGTCCCTATATTCTTTCATTAGGGCCAATAACTGGTTTCTGGCTATAAGATCCAACCAGACACTAATATAGGTAGGTTGTTGTACTGATGCATCCCCTAAATTGACTTATTCTAAAGGATCTTGCATCTGAGTGCTTGCCATTGTTCTCCCCTTCAGCTCCTGCTGGCCTCAAAACAATCATCTCATCTTGATTCGTCACATCCTTTCCTAGCTCAGCCTCTTTGTTTTCTTCCTCATAAACAAAGTCTGTCCATAGAGCCTTTTCTTCTTGTATCTCCTGGACTTTAGTTTCAATGTCCAGTGCACAATACTTGCTTAAAGCCAATGGCTTGGCCTCCTGTTGCTCATGTTTGCAGCGACCAATCACTATAGCTTCACTTTCTTCCTTTTGAACCTTCTGGACTATTACAGTGATGTCCAATGTGAAGAACTTCACCAAAGCCAAAGGTCTAGCATCTTGATCCTCTTACTTACAACCAGGCATTGTTGGCATCTTTGATGGTGTATTTATCATTTGCACTCTCTTGCACCAAGTGTTTCAGGTGTGCCAACTCCTCATCAGCCATCACTTCGGCTGTCCCATCAGGCTTCCTCAATATGCTCAGTGGAACCACCCCCTCAGTATATAACTTTACTTCTGCAAAGTCTACACAAGCAATGAAGGGCTGTGAGTCTGTATCTATTTCCTCTATCTCCCCACTACTCAAGGCTATCATCACCTTCTGATGTAAAGAGGAAGACACACATTTGTTGGTGTGAATCCAATCTCTACCAAGCAAGGCATTATATTTGGCATTGCTGTCTATGACAAAAAAGGCAATCATGCAATCCCTTATTCCCACACTCAGATTAATGGGTAATATACCTTGGGCCAATGTTTGTCCCTAACAAAACTAGCAATGGTCGTACTTGTTGGGATCAACCTGGGATTACTTTTGCCCAGTTTTTTCAAAGATGAATGAGAAAGAAGATTTACTATTGCCTCATTATCCACTAGTACCCTTTTCATTTCTATTCTATCGAAGTAAGACATAATGTACAAGGGTTTCATATGCTAGGTCATTATTGACGTAGGAAATTCAAATGGGTATGATAGGTTAACTATACTTACCTCTTCAGTCTCCATAGACCCGATTACTTCAGATTTCTCCTAAACTATGTTGGCTTCTAAATCTTCGCTAAAAACTCCTATAGGGTCATTTTCCTGCCCCTCCTAATTTCCTTCTTCTACTTAGAATTCCTGAGGCAATACATGTACCACATTGATTGGCATTGGGGAGAATGAGCCAAACTACACCACTAGCTGTATTTGCTCCCCTTCCGTGTTGGCCTGAACAGATGCTTGGGGTGCATCCTCCATACCACATTCTAGAACCTCTGAGCTGGCAGGCTTTTTAACAACAGTCTGTTGTTGATCTATCTTGAACATGGATACTGATTATTTAGCCATGAAAGCTTCGAACATATCTTCTTTGGCCAATTCCTGTTCTTAGCTTGGGTCAATTTCCTCTACTGTTTCACTGTCTTTATCAGTCTCCATTGGGGCCTTTTCGAGGCTTGCTAAACTTGACTGTTCTTTTATTTTTAGTTCAGTATGAACCTGAGCTAGTTTCTCTCTGTTGGCACTCCTGTTGAGCTTGGGAACATGCTTCGAACTTTCCTCCATTCGACCTCTTGACTGCACCAAGGAGGTGCCCTTACCAATTTCCCTTAGATCTCTTTGGTATTGAGTGAACCTCCACTGGATCTTTCTTCTCTGAGATCTAGAGATGACAAGAACCATGTCTAGTTCCTTTGTTTTGGTATTTTTTAGTAGAATCCAATTGTTTAGGGCCACCGAAGGAGGCTTAATCATTCTTTCCTTATTTCCAAAGGTCTTCCCTTGGGCTAGTATTATCTTAGGCTTGTTCTGCATAACAAACCAATCTGATTCTCTTGGTAGCCATGAACCCACTGTGCTGGCTATAAGGCATGCTACTTTTGCCTTCGGAGGCCAATCATTAGCTGCTATAGGGCCTGCTGCTTTTGTCTTCGAAGGCCAATCATTGGTCGGTCTTACTTGTTTTAAACCAATCTCAAGCTTACTGGCCATTCTGTAGTAGTTTGGTGACCTGGTTTCATACAATGGCCTCTTGCCTTTTGATAGGCTCTTATTGTCCACTGGCCTGCGTTTGGGATACATTCGTTGTATAACAGCTGCTTCAAGTGAGTCATCATCTATGAACTCTTCACTAGGATTATCCTTTTAGTTTATGAAACCTTGCCCACTTGCTGGTGAAGACTTTGCATTCTTCTGAAAGGCATTTGGACCAACCACATGCATCTGCACATTGACCCCATCCATCTCTTTTAGGGAAAGGCACTTCTCCATCTTTTGGTCAATAAAGTGTGGCGTGCCAACATTGGTTGTAGCTTTTTTGATTTATGGAAAAAAGGTCAATGTCAATTCCCATTGCCTTCTCTACCTTTGCTTGGAATTTCAATCTTCTTTTTTGAATCTGCTCTTGAATCCTATCTCGAAAAACAATGCAGTTTTTAGTTGAATGAGACTAAGAATTATGCCATTTACAATACATTTTGTCTTTTATTTCCTCTAAAGTTGGGATCTTAACTCCCTTATGCAATTTTAAAAAATGGGATGCTAACAAATGATCAAATATGTCATCTACTTTTGATATATCGAAAGAGTACTTCCTGTAAAGATCTTTCTTTTTAAATTGTTGATCGACAGTGGTATCTTTCTGAATTAATGCTTTATAGATCATAGGTTTAGGGTCCCTATAATAGGTCCTACAAGATGCATTATTTCGATCTTGTTCTTCTTCAAGGAGAGTCTCATAGCTAGTAACTTTATAATAATTCTACCAAGTCTCGAAACTCTCTTGAATTAAGCTTTTTTCGAAGCCTAAACTCTAACCCATTTTGGGCCAATTTTACAAATTTAGGTTCTAGTAGTACGACTCTACATTTGTTTCTTGCCCTTTTAAATTTGGCAATGAATTGATCAGCCTTTTCATCAGGCCTTTGGCTCAACCTTGCCAAGTTTGCCATAGATACTTTAGGCTCCGTTTGGAAAAACTGGGCATGAAATACCTCTTCCAGTTGTTGCCAAGTCTGGATAGAGCCAGGTGTAAGATTTGTATACCATACAAAGGCTGCCCCGGTTAAAGTGTTTGGAAAAAAGTCTTAGTGTCATGTAATCATTGTTGGTGAATTCACCACATTGACCTGTGAAGCTAGCAATGTGCTCCACAGTTGACTGGTTTCCATTTTCATAACAAAAAAAGGCAAAATCTGGTATCCTAAACCCCCTTGGGTATTTATGTAACCTATCCACCCATTCTGAATAAGGTTTTCCATATATAGGAGTCTGGACCCCCCAGGTCATGGGTCCATAAATTTCCCTGACAATATCAATAATTTGGTCCCTAGGAACCATGTTTTGTGCTGGCTAGGCCATTACTAGAGGCCCTCTTGGTCCATGGAAAGGCATATTTGGGACTGGTTGTTCCTGCTATGCTAGTTAATGTTGAAGGTATGGTTTCTCCCTTGGAGCAGGCATCTGCATTGCGAAGGGTACTGTGAAGGGAACTACAGGGAGAGGAAC